ACCATACTTAATAAATGAAGATAACAAACAAGATTATACATCAACAAGTGAAGAAGGCATCGACTGAATATAGATTGAAGAAAAAACGATTCTGACTGTTTAGCATTTGAATTGCATTACCTAAAGACTTGTAATATTCATAAGAATAATGCGGTCTAAATTGGTACATATATTCTTGTGATAAAAGAGGTTGGATATACCAAAACTAACATGATCTTGTGATAGCTGTAAAGAATATTATTGATATCAAAATTATTCCATCGAGTAGCGAACAAAATTTCAATTACCTCCCCCTCAATCTATGTATCATCTAGATGCTGTAACACCTAGTCAGTGTGCAAAATGTGGCTTAGAAAAATTCTACGACGTTTTCGCTTGAACAGTAGAGTCAATTGTCGGAATGGAATATAATGAGTGCAAGAAGATGAGCGAGAGGGATTTTGGATAGCATTTAGAGTACATTACATCTGGGGTAAAATGTGTACACACACATGCACAAATAGGAGAAAAATAAGTCAAGATAGTTTAGTGGATCGGGCATACTCAGTATACAAAATGAGGCTTAGAAAAATTCTGTGGTTGTTTTCACTCAAACAGTAAAGTCAATTGTCGGAACGGGATATAATGAGTGCAAAAAGATGAGTGATAGGGATTTTGGATAGGATTTAGAGCACATTACATTTGTTGTAAAATGAACCTCACATATATATAGGAGAAAAATAAGTCGGGATGGTTTAGTTGATCGAGCCAAGACCAAAAAAATGTTGCTTGATTTGATCGGCCAAATCAAATTGACGTTATTAGTGCTCAATCAGCTAATTTGTAATTTTTTTTTTATCACGTGCATATCACGTAATTTATAGATTTAACAAATATAATTATTTTACATATTTCAATTAATGAAAAATGAAACTACACAGAATGATGGCAAATGATTCAGATGCTCGATATAGAATTCATTAAAAAATGGCTTAGCTTCTTTTTGATTGTTACTCTGAGAATTATACCCGTCAGTATGTTTCAAACGGAAAAGAGACTAATCAACCTTTTTCTTATAGGGGTAATGAATATGCGATCAATTTGCAATTAAAAACTTTCATATTATTTGTAAACTAAACAGTTTTTAATGATGCTATCTCTATAAGATCTTGTTCATGGACATGATCTTCCAAAGAAAGATTGATTAATATGATTTCATCTCTCAATAATTAATTGTGTCACTAGTAATCTTTGTATGATTCATGAATCTTTTGTCTGATGACATTGTTTTGATGAATTCAACGTATGTTACTCCAAAGACATCATGGACCTAACAAAGATTGCCTTCGTGACTCGATTCTTATTTTGCAACTAGCTTGACTTGGATGTTACAGTCTAGAAAAATACAGAAGAAAATAAAAGAGAACTTGTAAACGAACTATCAAGATTAAAGTCGGTGTATAGGCTCTAGAAGTTAGTGCATCAAGTATTACAAATGACGAAATAAATTAAGAGTATTTTTTACATGACTTTGTGAAGTTAAAATGAATTTTCAATTTCCAAAAATTGATTTTAGATCTATTTAATTAATTTTATAAAAATGTTCCTTTTAGTTGAACAAGTTTTTAGAGAAAATTGATCAACTTTTGAAAGATGAAGTTATTTAAGAAATTAGTTTTCAAATGCTAACTAAGTAATTGCCTTCCGAAGAATCTCTTTTACAAAAAGTAAAAGCAAAAATAAAAATTCTGCCGACGATAAGTATTATTCTGATAAATTTGAATCAGCTATGTGTCTTTCTCTTGTCAAGTATTTTATTAAATTAACTCACTTCTATAAAAAGAAACCTACTAAGTACGTGTTAAAAAAAAAAAACTCTCACAAGCCATGTCGTTCTCTCCTGATCTATTTTAGTACTTCTCCTCATCCATCTTACCATCTTCGTTTGCACTTTAATACCCATTTTGTGTAGTATCTGAATTTGATGTCAAAGCTATTTTTTCATGGCGTAGTATGTTGGATTGCTTTTTGGTGTCCACTTTATACATGAAAGAATGCTCCATGTCTACATTCAACTTCTCGTGTCATTTGATTAGGGACGAAGATAGAGGCGGTCCAAATTCTTATTTATTTATAATAATAATAATAATAATAATAATAATAATAATAATAATAATATTATTATTATTATTATTATTATTATTATTATTATTATTATTTTACTGTATCTATGTTAATACCAGTGCAAAGAAAAAGAGAAAAAAATTGTCCTCTCATGACTCTGCCTCTATTTTCAATCTAAAAAATGGTCTTAGCACACTCTTTGATATTTTAGTGATATATTGTTTTCCAACCAATTAGTTTCTCATATAATTTTAATACTATTAAGTTGACTTTATTTGCAAGCGAGTCCTCGAAACATGCGTAGGGAATGTTGAAATAATTTCTTCATTTGCAAATATAAGAAACATAAAGGACTAAGTTGTTATTTTCTTTAAAATGTAAATCCGACCAAGTCTGATTATTGGTGTTAATGCAATGATTGACCAAAAACAAAACAAGTTTAGAAAATATCAGGAAAAAAAAAAGTGGTGAAATTTTAGAAAAAAACCATGGAAATTTTATTTCAACTACAAAAAGACACTTTGAACTCTTGAAATTGCCAAATTTAGTCTAATAGGGCATGTTTTAGCCGATTTTATTTCCAACGGGATATTGTGATAATTCACGTAATTAGTGTAAAAATTCTCTTGAACTTGAAACTTTAATTGAATAAAAGATAATAGAAGTATAAAAAGAATATTTATTATCGTTATTTTCTAATTATCGAATCAAATCCATCATCAAAATGTACTTATGTCTCATCGGAATATGGAGGTAGTTATGACATAATTGGCCAATCCAGTATTTTACAATAAAGTGATATAGAGAACTGCAATAAAATAACTTATTAATAGAGCTTTGGCACACATCATGGAATCAATAAGGACTCTAGATTTCTACCGAGTTGCTAATACATCCATTTCATTAAGAATTTATAATGATTTGACAATAACTTCTTGATGATGGCTAGTTTTAGACGTTGAATAAAGTTTGATTTCAAAAAACACTATCTTTGTGAAAACGTTTCATATAATTCTATTGAATGGATACATTTGCAAAAATTCTCTTTTTACACTTTTGGATCAATTTGTCAACAACCAATGAGCGATAAGCGAAGCAGGCGTTCTCTGACACTGGGCACATGATCTCTCATATACGTCCAATTTTGGTTTATTAATTTTCCTATTTAAATTATACAAATCAATAGAAGGAAATTCTCAAATTCAGATGGAATTTATGGAAACAAGGACAAAATTAACCATTTAAAAAGATTTAGGACTTCTTTAAACTTTTCCAATAAAGTAAGTGCAAATGGGTTCATATTGATATTATAAAGCAATTCATGTGAGCCTAACACGAAAAAATAATTGAAAATTAACCGTCTAATAATTTACATAAATTTTATTTAATTATTCTTTGACTTTAACAGACAACTTCTGTTGACTCAATCATTATTAATTATAATAGTGTCCTTTAATTTACATGTAAATTGAGAATTAAGAAAAAAGTAAAAGAATGTGAAAGTCGAGGACCAAATATAGTTCTTTTCATTGTTGCACCGCGAGATGGGGACGTAAGCCTGACGTAAGTTATGATCTCATGAAATTCTATAAAAATTTGGCTAAGTTTTATTTTTAATTGTAATTTAAAATTTTAAATAAATGAAGAAACAAAATTCTAATTTTTTTATAGCATTACAACAGTACATAAATGGTGCTGTTAAAATTTCCTAACCATGTAAATTACTATGCCCATTTCGGTCCAACTACAAAATTGAATTAAAATTTAAGTTAATAATTAATTTTAATTACACATTTTGTTAACTCCACTACTTTTCAACTACATATTTCATCTTCTTTTTATCTAAACCAAATAGAGGCATATAAGATAGCCCCCCCCCACCCCCTTCCCCAAGATTTGTCGAGTTTAAACCATCAAATGTGCAAATTAAATATGATGTCGACTAGTTAACAAAGAATGATCGTAAAAATATTACATTATGACGGTACATGTGAGGTGGTGTTAAGAATTTGCATCAGAAAACAATTACTACTGTCCAACCAAACAATGTATGTTTGAATTTGACATACATATCTCTTTCTTATTGGGAGTCTACTCGGATATCTTGTAGGACCTCTACTCTTCTACTCCAGGTCTTGTATAGATACGCACGAAAAAGTGATCCTAGGTGGGTGTAGGGGTTGTGTTTGTCAACAATAATGAGTTCCTCGTCAAGTCAATTTAGTGGGTGCGAAAACACTTGCATAAATCAGGGTAATAGATACAAGGAATAATTCTAAAAGAAACTATGCATGCTCAAGGATGGACTAAACTCGTAAACTACCAAAGATAAGGATAATCGTCAAGATCTTATTCTGAGATAAAAAAGATGTCCCACCACTATAGGCATGTCATTTCCTCTGTCATCATTGAGAAGATCTTGTCGACAAGACCATACGATAAGTTACTAAAATGAACATGAGATGGGAGGGCGACCTCTTTAGTAGACTTTTTGAAAAAAAAACAATTAGCGACATCTGGAGACATGTTCTCGCTCCTTCTGAACGAAATGCAGGAGGATGAAGTCTTTCCAAGGATTTCTAGAATAGGGTAAAGTTCAATCCTTACGACGGAGATAAGAAAATGGTTCTAGATATTTATTCACCATTTTGCAAATTTATAAAGCATTTATAAGTCCATTGTCAAACATGGATTTACATATTTTACATTTGATATTTTAAATTTTTTAAAGCCTTGAAATTACCAAGTGGTAATTTCAAGAGAGAAAAGTGGACATTTTTGTGCTTTGACGTTTAAGGCCCGGCATTTACCCTACCAATCCATCTTCCACCACATTTTACGCTTCACAGAGAATTTCAGTATAAAAAAAATGTCAAACCTTTTCCCTTTTCTCTATATAACTTCATACACACCCTTCAGTTTTCCTTCCCCTTTTCCTTTCCTTTCCCTTCTCTTTGCTTTCCTTTTCTTGCCCAAACAAAATATTTCTCCTTCCTCATTTATTCCTGCAATTCTTGCATTCAAAGGTCACCGCACATTTCATTCCCCCTTTCTTCTTCGCCTTTTACTAGACCTTCTGTTCTGTCTTTATATATGCATTAAGAATATCATAATTCTTTCACAGTTTAAGCTCATTCTTGAAAGAAATCACCTTTTTTTAGTTGAATTTCATCTGGGTTTTCTTTCCTGATGGATAGAGTGATTTCTGAAAACTGGAATTCGCCACCGCAGTTTGAAACCACTTGGAATGGAATGAATTGCAATGCAGAAGAATCTTTTCTTGACCCCAATTGGGACAAGACTTGTACAGATCAATTTACTCATTTTGAGCCAGTTTTAAGCTCAAATTCAAGCTTTTCAAATGATTTTCCCCTCCGGGAGTTGATTGGAAAATTGGGTATTGGAAACTCCAGCGGGTTTCCGCCTACTGTAACAACCGCCGCCCCCTCCATGGCGGCGGCTACTAATGATAATAATACCAACAATTCTTGCTTCAGTACGCCCTCAAACTCTCCCCCTAAGCTGCATTTTCCAATCCCTGATCAAATTAACACGCGTCATATGGGGAATTCACTGCCTCCGACCCCTCCTCTGCCTTCACTTCCTGGTGATCCAGGTTTCGCGGAGAGGGCGGCCAAGTTTTCGTGCTATGGCAGCCAGAGTTTCAATGGACGGACAAGTCCATTTGAATCAAACAATGCTATGGGGAGTGGGAATTTAACCCGGGTTTTGAGCACTCCCTCTCTTAAGCAAGTTGGATCTCCAGTGGGAAACAAGAACTTGAATCATTCACAGATGGAAATTAGGTCTTTCGACGGGATGGTTGATAAGAAATGGAGAAAATTATCTGGGGCAGGTGCCAATTCCAATGAGGAATCCTCTGTTTCTGAGCAAATCCCTAGTGGAGAAATTGGTTTAAAACCTCCAAATGAACTCAATTCCAGGAAAAGGAAAGCTGTTTCTAAAGGAAAGCCCAAGGAGGATTCATCAACTTCAGCTAAGGTATAGATATTTTGTCGAATTTATAACAATCTATTTTAAGTGTGTAATTATAAAACAAGTTTTTCATTTCAGGGATTTGAAGATGACAACTATGCAAAAACCAAGAGATCAAAGCCTCAAGCAATTAGCAAAAATGAAAATGATGATGTTAAAACAGAGGAGGAAGCTAAGGGGAATTCTAATGGTTCCGAGGATGAAAATGAGAAACAAAAGGCTAATCCAAAGTCCCCAGAGCCACCGAAGGATTACATTCATGTTAGAGCAAGAAGGGGTCAAGCGACTGACAGCCATAGTTTAGCAGAACGAGTATGCATTTTAGACAATTTCTTGAACAATTCATTGGCATTTAATGTGATTGCCATAGCGTAATGGTAGCCGATAAGATTGGACTCTCTGGTAGATATAGTTATGAAGTCATAGCCGGCCCCAAAATTATTCAGAACATGCTTAGTTTCTTGTCGATCACTTTGTCATGACGTTCTTCATTGTTCTTTAATTTAGGTTAGACGAGAAAAAATCAGCGAAAGAATGAAGCTTCTTCAGGATCTCGTACCAGGCTGCAATAAGGTTTGCAGCATTGTTTGCTAAATTAAAATGCTTTATTTGTTAAATTAGTATATCAAGTTCATCAGCAATTTTTCCTTCAAAAATTTATTGTTTTAGGTGACTGGAAAGGCTCTAATGCTTGATGAAATCATTAACTATGTTCAATCATTGCAACGCCAAGTTGAGGTAGACAATCCATTAAAAAAGCTGGTACTTAAAGGTTTTGTTTTTAACTTTTGTTGGATTAATGGTGTTCGAACTAAACTTTCTGCAGTTCCTGTCTATGAAATTAGCCTCAGTAAATCCAAGACTGGATTTTGAAATGGAAAATCTTCTCTCCAAGGATGTGAGTAAATTTTACCTCGGTTTATTTGTTTTTATATATGTTCGAGTAGATCTAGTAATGAACTGAATGGAGTCGAGAGAAAAGATTCATTTAGCCGAGCCCAAAATTTATTGTTGTTCAAATATTTGGAATTTCTGAAATATGATTTGTTGGGTGTCCATTCAGATGTTTCAAGAAAATGGAAACCTGTCCCAACCTCTGTACCCTTTGGATTCCTCAGCACCAGCATTCTACCATCATCAACCCAAGCAGAATGTACAACTACATGATGCCAATTTTTCCAGGGGACCATTGAATCAATGTTCAATGGACCCTTTAGATGCCCACAACGTAGGCATTCAATTGTCTTCAGTTGATGGATTTGGCGAACGTCTTTCTCAGGTAATCAATTGTTCGAACTCGAAAATCTTGTTCACTATACTGTTGAGTACCATGTATCAAACATGCACTATAAATTATGCAGAAATGCAAATTTACTTTATCTGATATTTGTATCAACCTCATTTTTTCCAGTTCCCAGCATTCGATGGCCATGATTTGCAAAGCATTGTTCAGATGGGTTTTGGCCAGGATCCTGTCAAAGAGAATGCATTTCATTCAGGTAACTTTCAAGGTAAAGACAAGAAAGATTTGGAAAAAAGTATCAGCAGAATAAATATTGTTTAGGATTATCAGAAAATGTTTTTCCTGTGTTTTAAAACTTGTCACTCATAAGTACTTGTTTTATGCAGTTACAAATCAAACATCCCAAACGAAAGTTGAGCTGTGATCACCACTCGTTTATGCTCTACTGGTGCCCGAAAGGAGAAACAGGCTGCTGTAAATACAAAAAGAACTTAGTACAAGATGTTCAATGAAATGCTAATTCGAGAAAATTATTTTTTCCGTCTTAGTTTCATCCTTTGCATTTTATTTCGATATTGTAGTGATGAATTCATGTTTCCAATTTTTTATGGTGTGCTTTTACAATTAGCCACTGTATAATCCTAGAAGGATAGGCCTATTTCTGGTGCAAAGTCTTAACAGCGCCATATATGTACTGATCTTATGTAATGTAAGTTATTCTTAGTGGAAATGAGAACTGATCTTTCCATGGTCGTTCTTTGTTTAGCAGTCGACATCGCACTTATTGGCATGTTTGATGGTTTAAACTAAACAGGATTAAAGAAGAAAATATATTGTATAATAATGTCTAGTCTATCATATCGTTTACGTCAATTCTTGAAGATTCAGTGCAATCTTTCTCAAGATTTTCACGCGGTTGGGCCAATTTCAAGTGTTAAAATTGCGTTTCTGGTGGTTATGGCTTATGATAGTTACTTATGTTGTAACCAGCTGTATAAGTGGGGCTCTTTTCTTTCAAAAGTCTTAATACAAATGATAAATTTGATTAACGTTTGTTTTAGTCTATCATAATTTCAGGCACATTTTGTGGGCACCTTTTAGTTTCACAGATAAACCAGAAACTGAACCTTCTATTCTTATTTTCACCCTGCACTGAACAATCCAAAGGCTGGAACTTTGAACCAGTCATTTACAGCATATGCATACATATTTTTTTATGTATATACATGAACGAAAAAGGAATCCCAGGTTGTCATTGGTGAGATTCTGACTAGACTCAATGAATTTAAGTGCTTTGAAAAATTAAATTTTAAATTTTATATCACATAATATGAACAGAAAAAGGTTAAGTAGTGGAGTAGGGAGCATGAAAAGATGCTCCTAAAAGATTTATGAATCATTTGATGATAGGTGGTTAGTGAAAAATCAAGTTTTTTGGGTGCATTTGCAGCCTTTGATTATTTTAATCAGGGTTCCATTATTGATCTTTATGATCATAGTGGCTTGATTATCTGAAAGATTCTTTGAAAATGATCCTTTGCATAAAAGAGTTAAACTGCATATTATTGTATATTTGAACATGTATAGGTGATGATAGAACTGTCTGGAATAAATATTAAAGAATGTCAATCATGCAATTAAATGTATCTGGCAATTTGTATTTAAAATTTCATGACATTTTTGCCTGTTTAGCGATTGTAGTTCAGTTGTGGAATGTTTCGCACTGGACGGGATTAAAAAATGTTTCATAATTTATTTTTTGTCCAGTAAGGTTTAATACCAATACGAAAAATGGGATTGCCACCTTAGAATGAAAAAACTCCGACCAACCATCGTCCAAACCGTCGAACCTCATACTGCTGAACCATCTATTGATATTTTAAAACCATGAAGAGAAGCGTTCTGGTGAATATAGGCGATTGGTGTGTGGAAATGACATGGATCTCTTCGGAACGGTTGTGTTGCCTGGGTTTGGGTGATGACATTTTGGAAATAGTATGGAGGTTCAGCGGTTTAGCAATGGTTTCAATTTTAATAAGGTCTAATAGTACAAAACGTCCCTACGTTTGACAATCTTACGAAAAATGTCTCTACGTTTGACAATCTTGCGGAAAACGCCCATACGTTTCGATTTATTTTTTTTGCATTTTCATTCTTCTTTTCATGTTTCATTGCGAAAAACATCATTTTCATCAATTTGAAACGTATGAACGTTTTGCATACTACAGGCCAAACGTAGAGACATTTTGTGCTATAAGGCATTTTAATAATTATTTGGACTCACTTGCACTTTTTAAAACATTTAGGAGTAAGATTACAATTTATTCTTTATTTTTTTCTTTTTTGATTTTATTTAAATAGGAGGGTATTTTGGTCATTTTACATTAAAAATGGTGAAAATAACGTTCTCTGCAATGAAATGTTGAAATAAGGATGAAAATGTAAAAAAATAAAACGTATGGACATTTTTCGAAATAAATGTCAAACGTATGGACGTTTTGTGCTATTATCCCTATAATAAACATGATGTTACTGTGTAAATAGTAACGTCCTATTGATTAGTGTATTCACTAATCCCACAACTTTTGAACCAATATGCTAGAATTCTTTTTAAGAAATTATTGGTCCCAACAAAATATTTTTTAGAAAAGAAAACCAGCCTAACTTTTTACTATAGTTATTTTCTTTTTTATATCGATCTTTTCTTTTCCTTGATTTCTCACTTATATTTATTTGTGTTTCGACTCACACAAAAAGTAAAAAATATTAATCCGATCTTTCTTATCGCTTAACCTCGTTATTCTCTTTTCTTCAAATGTTCATTAACCTAATTCATGTCCATCAACAAGAGGAACGTGAGGCCATCGGACCTCATGCATGCATACATGTAAGATTGTATTAGATTTTCATTTTGTAAAATTATTTATTATTTTTAGTGACAAAGTATTTGCAAGTATTAGGGTTGCTCAAAAGGTAATTATATATATCTTATTTGATTCAAACCTTCCATTGTTGTTGCATTCATGATCACAAACGACATATACACTACAAATCCCCATTAAAACGTCACATAATTCTCATATGTCCAAAACCATAGTGCGGAAATCTCTTTGTCCTCGAACGTCTACCCAAAACACTGTACAAATTAAGGGAATTCAACTTAAAAGATCTATTGAACATATCTAAATTCTTAAAAATGTCAAACAAAACAGATGAATTATTGGTTTTTTTTTTAATAAAGAAAATAAGGTGAATTGTTAAGAAAGAAAAAGATTGCACCATTTTATCGACTTTCATCAATTTGGGTCTTGATTGTAAAATAATAATCTAGACTTTATTGAACCTTCTCATCTAAAAATTTAATTTTCACAACTTGATATCTTGTTTAATTATATAGGAAAGTTGTTTCTATAGTTCAATTCACACACATTTTAAAATAAAATTTTCCTTGATAGATTCTCAAAGTGTTAATTATGTAATTGACTAAGAAAGCAACAAGAATAAAGCTTTGCTGCCATATATTTATGTTTTATTATTATTATTATTATATTATACTTATAGGATTCTTTTTATATATGAAGTGACTAATGAAAAAAATACTAATGATTAAGATTGGAAAAACTTGGAAAATCTTTAAAAAAAGGGACACCCACTTTTCTCCATTTTAGTTTCGTAATAACAATCATCAATTACCAAGAACAATTTTCCTACTACTCTAGATTTTTAGTGCCCTCGATTGATTTGCGCATTCACAAACGTAATATGATCTTCGTATTTTATTATTATTATTTGTACTCGCAATATAACATATGAAGTATACTCATTTTTACACGCACAAGGTACGACTTGCCTTATGTATATGAATAACTTGTTCATTCAATATATGAAAACGAAAGTTTTGATAAAAATGACATTATGGTTATCATGATAGAAATTTAAAAATTTTCACTGGATGGAGAAAAACCCTCAAGTTTCCCCAAATTAAAAATCAAAACGGAACTTGAGTGAAAGGATAAGAATATGAATTCATCCTAGTACCAGACATAATGCTTATTTGAAACCAAAGGACATTAATTGCTCGTACACATAATTAGTCACTTGTAATGTGAAATTGTGCATCATGATTATATATTGAGAAGTGGATGACTCATTTTAGGGGTGGGGGATTGATGTTGCTAGCCACCCCCACCCTAACTAACTTTTAATGATTATATAAAATCATTTCTAATAATGAGATGAATCCCTTCTAAATATTGGATTCCCTAGGTAGAATGTCCCGTTTAAATTGGCATGAAAAGTAAGTGAAAGTTAAAAAAAGAAAACGCGAAAATTTCACTTACTGATAAATGTATGTATTTCGATTAATGTCATTTTCTATGATTACGATTTTATGAGATATTTAAATGTAGAGTTTGCAAAGACTTCTAATGACACGTATGTCAAAAATATTAAAACTTGAATTATTTGACTAATACACTTGCATCCTTTTCTTTTCTCACAAAAAAAGAAGAAGTAAATAAATAAATAAATAAAAATACAAAACCTCCAATGTGAGCTAAAAACTTGTATAATCTTAATACTCAATTGAAAGTGGTGTGTATCAATGGACGTGTTGATCTAACCACAAGTAAATTGACAAATGAGGGTCATGTTGAATCAACATGACTCAATACTACGGCCTATGATGACTCATATTATAATCATGTTTGACAAATAAGCTTATGACTACTTATAAGTCACGAATACCACACAAACTTGTAGTTACCGAATAAGTAGCAAAGGAGATACTTGGGTGGCTTATTGGTAAGCGACAAATGTTGTGTTTGCCAAACAACTTGTCACAGTTTCTAAGCAATTCTCCAAAATTGTTTTAGATAGTTTTGCTCATTCAGTCCTTCGAATATTTATACTTATTTTGTTCCTTGTATACTTTTCGTTAAGAGAAAAATTAGGGAGCCCATTTATTGCAGATTGAATGAAAAATCTTGAGAATTTATTGAAGAGACAGGTGGACAGAAACATTCTTCAAAAAAGCGAAGCACAGTCCACGTACTTTAGTGCAACTTGGTTTTGAAATAAATACCATTCCTAGTAACTTCAAAAAAAATCCAAGCACATTTCCCTGACAAAATATTCTATTAAGAATGGTAGAATCAATTATTGGATACACAGTATTAGATAAAATTAAACGACTATTCGCTGTTATAATACATCACTCAAGCCATTTGTACAGAAATTTTTCCACAGAATTTGGCCAGGTTACTCTCTCGTGTGGGACCCACCGTGAATAAAAAATTGCCAAAAAACACCCCCACCCAGCCCCCTTGTTCTGGCAGGCTTCATACACAAAGCAGGTTTGTACATACATACTGGTTTAATTTTGTAACAAAACAATTGCACATGTTGGCTATGAAGAATTGTTCAAAATCTGTGGAGTATAATTTGCTAGATCAGCCGGTTGAAACCTAGGAAGTACTACATGTAAGTATGGATAATCACCTTCACGTTCGACTGACTCGAGGGCAACCAACATACTAATAAGTAGGGAACTTTGGATCCACATCATTAGCCCACGACTCGAGGCCCCCAATAATATCCTTCGCTGAAGTAAAACCCATCCTGCGGAGGAATTCGACCGCCCTCTGCGAATCGTTACCTCTTCTGCAGATTACGTATAAAGAAGCACCTCGACTGGTGTCAACACACTTGTTCCCTTCCTCCCTCTCCAGGGATGCGGAAATTTCAGATAACCTCCCCTCCAAATTTCCAAGAGGAATGTTAATCGAATTAGGAAGTGAAACAATCTTGAAGTGATGAGCTGGTCGAACATCAACCAATACATGCGCATCGCCTTTCAGGATTCTCTCGTTGTACTCCTTACTCGTTATTCTAGCATCTTCTGAAAGCAGGTTTAACTTCAATGGAGACTGCAACAGTTTCGAAAAGTCAAAGCACATTAAACCAAACGAGATTAACTGTTTCTTGCTTGTTTATATTAACTTTTTCAAATGACATGCAAAACGTGGAAACAGTGTACGCCAATTTCATCAAAGAAGCAGAGTAATGATGTGTACAACAGAGATTTTTTTTTATGAAATTTCAGACTCTGATGCAGAAAGAATTATTGTTGTGCCTGTCATGTCAGTTAGCTTGAAGTGCACAGGAATAATTGAAAAGAGGAAATACACACCGTGGAAAATGGAGATTGAGTAAATTTTTCGTAATCAAAATTACGAAATTGCTGTGCTGTCATTATAGCATTTTCTCCACAGGCTTCACAATGCAAGGATCTCCCTCTAATTTTGACCTGAGGAATATAATAGCAACAAATCATTACCATAAAAGATGGATAATAATGCTTGATGACCCTTTGAATCAACGAACACGGTGAAAATGTGAGAGACAATGGAGATGATCTCCAAATGTTCTACTTTAGCCAGCTTACAGATCATGACATGGACATCTAATTATCTTACCAGGCTCCATATTCTTATATCGACATATCCCAGTAATAAAATTGATTGAACACAATGCTTTGCTTTACAGTTAGCTTAAATAGTAATAAGCCTGTTGAGAAACTATCTGCTCCTTTTGCTAAAAGTCAAGTCCAATGTTTATTTAAATTCAAAACAGGAGATATAGAAGAAATAAAATAGAACATACAACACGAATTCGGGCAGAAAGTGCATCAAAGAGAAGCATTCTCCCTGAAAGTGGCTCCCCAACAGCAGCGGCAACCTTTATAGCTTCCAATGCTTGAAGACATCCAATAACACCAGGAACTGTAGGACGAAACAAAAATTCAAATATAGACAAGTACAGATATTTAATCTTTAAACGGTTGCCAACTCTATGAAGCATAAAAATTTTAGATTCTGCAACCAGTTTCGTCTGTGGTTGCATTTCTATATCAAAGAGGTAGACTTCTATCAAAAATCTATTACACACACTGTTAGAGAATAGACACCACTTGAAATTAAGTGAAAGCATTCATGCTCAACTTACCCACTCCTAGAACTCCACTGTCTGCGCATCTTTGACATGCTGTTGTAGGTGGTGGAGTTGGAAATAAGCATCGATAGCATGGACCTCCATTGTAATTGTAAACTGTGAGCTGCAGCAAAAATCTATAAAAATTGAAGATGTAATAAATAAAAGATAAGGAAACATAAATGAAACCATGTTAAGTAATACTGGGATTCTGGGTAATGGATAAGATTTTTTTGTTAACAAACAAGAGGTAATATGTTGTATTAACTGTACCTGCCCTTCAAGTCCAAGTGCAGCTCCAGATATTAGAGGCTAGAAGCACAATTAAGTGAATGATCAATAAAATGCAAAATTCTCACCAAGAAAAAAAGGATGTAACATGATGTCAATCACCACAAGGTATTTCGTGTAAGACACACAAAAAGAACACTTTGTGGAATGCAATGTTGTGCACTAGAAAATTTGTTTTCCATTCCATAGACAGTTCAGTATTACTCTATTCTTTTAATTTTTATAAAACTCGAATTAGTTCTTATGAAGACTTGTTCTTGTTTTTCCTTGATCAGTTTTGTTCCCTAATATTCTATTCCAAGATTGTAACTTCAGATTTTGTTCTTAGTGAGAAGTTAGATTAATCGTATGTATTTACTTTTAAATGACCCCCCACAAAAAAAAAAAAAAAAAAAAAAAAAAAAAAAAAAAAAAAAAAAAAAA